TAAACTTGGCCACTTAAGCTAATGAAATCGGGAAGAACGGAGAAGGACGGAGAAAGTTGGACAGAAACTTTCTTCTTCAGAGGTAGAAGAGAAAGTTAGAGAGAAGAAAGAGAAATAAGAAAAAAATCAAAGAGAACTCATATATTCATCCTGTTCGACTCGACAATTGAACACTGAAGTGACTAAGAAAACCTTAAACGTGGTGCATAAATTAAACTAATATTGTTACGCAACAATTACTCATAAAATTCTCTTTCTTGGTGGCTAATAAGCAAGGTTAATTTGAGTTAAACTTGGCCACTTAAACTAATGACACAATTAGTGGCCTAAGCAAATTAGTTCGTTAAAGAAAATAAAGAAGGATGTAGAGGGACGGAGAAAGTTATGGGGAAACCTTATTATGTTGTAGAAAGCGTCGTTCTTGTGGTCCCACAAGTCGATGTGGCCAGAATAATAATTATGTGGTCCCAAAGACCGGGCCCAACATGTTTTCCCAATTCTAGATGGGCCTTCAATTATAATGCTCTTGGGCCTATGCGGTCTTTGGGCTTCGTCTCTTATATTGTCTGCAACCCATTGCTGTATTGTTGTTGGAACGACCCATACTATGTCTGTAAATGGATGAACATACGGCAATGGTGGATTAAATGAAATCCGGTCATAATTTGATGACAACTTGTCATAATTTAACCAGAAACATTTTGGGTCGCCATTTCGTACCACTGCTAGTGCTTCGTCTTTCGTGCCGGCTGCAAGTGCATCCCGATATATATTGTCTTTGTTATTCTGGTTAGCGCAGCGGCTCCTCTCACGGAATTCGCCCCATTCCGTGTAATCCCCGTGTTTGGAGATGTATTCCAGCACATTCTGTTGGTTGTATGCCCCTTGTACATTCGGATGGAAATGGCGACTGGTTCGGTCGTGAGTAACGTCGAAGAACCGTTCATTCTGAGTCTGAAAATGATATGGAAATTGAACATGGGCATGGGGGTGTGGTTGCCCGTCCTCGTGTAATTCATGTGCAACCCTCACATAATTTGGTGGCCTGGTTGTGAACAAAGCGGTAAAATCAAACAGATATTCCTACGGTGAACAGATAGAAATTCAATACCACATATTTTCACATAATGGCATACAAAACCATGCTAAACACATAACCATAAACAACTTAAGGACCAATTAGCATGATACAGAACAGGGATGTCACACTTACTCTCTCGGATGATGCAAGTCACTCTCTGAAAACTTTATTGGTGGAAGAGAGTTAGGGAGTGAGTTATATAGGTGCCCAGGAGCGTCCCACTAATATTACCTGGGACGCTCCCCCCCGCGCCACGTGTCGTCCCCCGATTGGTGCTCCCTTCCGCATTTTGAGGCCTGTTGTCGGCTAGTGTCTCCGCTCCGCGCCCAGATCTGCGGTCAGGATTAAAAATCTAAAAAGGCAAGCGCAAGCGGGAAATTTAAATTAAGGATTAAAAATCGAAAAAGGCAAGCGCATGGCCCACGCCTTATTTGTTTGTATCGTTTGTGGTTTGCTGTTAGTCTGTGCCATACGTTATACAGTATCCGTTTTTAACAACTATTAACTGTTTATGTTGACCCATGTCACGGTCAACACATTACGTCTATAAAATAACATCGACGTGAAGTTTTAATAGTCAGTTTCCTGAACGTCGATTATGGCGACTACTTTCCGGTTTTCACAACGGCGTCCATATACTGCGCGAACTAAATTAAATTTTAGTCGCCGTTGGACAACATCCAGCAGATCTGGTGTTTCCGGACGAAGTTATTTTAAATTTCGAAAACATGGTTTGTACAAAAAAAAAACGATTCACGTCTAAATTGTTGTGTGATTCCATCTGGAGGATTGACGATTTTCTCCCGTATGATGAGCCTCATTTTTTCCATTTTGATTTGCCGGAAGTGGGTACTGAAAGGGATGAACGACAATCCCGAAAATTGAAGTTGTTAGGACTCTATATCCAGGGTGTAGTTTTACGTCAGACTGGTGGTCTGTCCGAACTTGCTGCTGATACGCCTGGACTGGAAAGTGACATGCGTGATGCCCCTACTCAGGCTGTGGAACAAACGGCGGACATTGATCCATCTGGTATGCTTGACAATGGCCAATGTGAATTTGTCGTTGTGTTGGACCGGTTTCCTAATCCTGCGTGCAATAAGCTGGATAATTTGATCGTCATCCATTTGATCATCATCCATTCCGCATTTTGTGGCGTGTTGTCGGCTAGTGTCTCCGCTCCGCACCCAGATCTGCGGCCAGGATTAAAAATCAAAAAAGGCAAGCGCCGCTCCCCGATCTGCGGCCAGGATTAAAAATCGAAAAAGGCAAGCGCAGGCGGGAAATTATATAAGCCAAAATAATTGGGGGAGTTTGAATTATTTTGCAAATGGATCGCGGAGATCTAGGCCAATTTCGGCGGTTGATTTTAATATAACTAATAAACATTAAATGGGCCTCATTGTTGTAATTGGGCCGTTAGTTTGTTTACCAATTACAGCCCATTTATCCAGCTTAAACCTGCTCAGAAATCGAATTTATATAAAATTGCATTTTTATTTAATCATAAAAATTTACATAAATACAGTCCCATCGCCAATATTTTACATAATATGAAAGCTCGTCGAGTACAATGGTCAGTGCGAGACAATAGTTTACAGGGCTAATAATCCCAAAGCAGGATAATTTGATCGTCATCCTACGTGCAATAAGCTGGGTAAATACAGTCTCCGACAGGGTTCTGCGACCACTGAAAGTCAGCCACGTATACATTGTTGCTGTAAACGTCCGGATTCCCAATGCTTTCCGGAGGTTGTAGTTGAATAGGCATTGTATCTTGTAGACCCCCTGATTGCCCGGTCTGGAGAGGTCTATTGCTTTGAACCACATCGGGTTCTTCAAAGTATCGTAAAAGACCCCTGACAGCGTCCTCTCTCTCCAATGTATGTGGTTCGACGCATCCGTTTGTATGGAATATCGAGCAGCCGCATTGGAAGTGGAATATCTTCCTGCGTTGGGCCTTCTTCTTGGCGTTACGATGCCTCTTCTTGACTGGTTCTGGCGAACAAGGGTTCGTTGACTGTATAGAGTTCTGCGTTCCGGTATGTCCACGCTTTGAGCCCGACGTGTTCATGTTTTTCCAAATACACTTTGTAGCTGGAGTCTTCTCCGGGGTTGCATAATATAATACTTGGAATCCCGCCAGTTATTTTCTTTGGGCGGGCATATTTACAATTTGAAAAAAAGTCCCGTTGCGCTCCAATAAACTCGCGCCAATGTTTGGGTTGCATTTGTCAATCATCATAGACTTAAACGTGAGTTTCTGCCACATTGTATCGCCTATCTTTGGGTTGTAGATTGGTATATTGGATACCGGTACGTTTGATGTCGCGTCAATGATTTGGGTTTCCAAATCGCCCTCTTCATTTTCGTGGAGATTATCTGTAAGATCAGGTTGTTGTATTTCTTCAGACATTATGATAGCGCAGCGATATGTTAGAATTGTCAGGCACACAATTCTCGTATGGGCATCAATGGCTAATGTTCTTATATATCTTATTTCATGGAGTTGGGAGAATAATTAATTTAAAACGCGTTGTCTAAAACGACGTCGCATTGATGCCATAACTCACTCTCGATGACGTCACTTACTCTCTCGGATGACGCAAGTCACTCTCTCAAAAACTTTACTGGTGGAAGAGAGTTAGGGAGTGAGTTATATAGGTGCCCAGGAGCGTCCCACTAATATTACCTGGGACGCTCCCCCCGCGCCACGTGTCGTCCCCCGATTGGTGCTCCCTTCCGCATTTTGAGGCGTGTTGTCGGCTAGTGTCTCCGCTCCGCGTCCAGATCTGCGGTCAGGATTAAAAATCTAAAAAGGCAAGCGCAAGCGGGAAACTTAAATTAAAGGGAAGCGCAAGCTGAAGTTGTAAACAGTTAACTTACGTATGGCCCACGCCTTATTTGTTTGTATCGTTTGTGGTTTGCTGTTAGTCTGTGCCATACGTTATACAGTATCCGTTTTTAACAAATTACTCAGTAAATTATTAGAAAATTACTCTGTAAATTCCAAGAAAATAACGCAATAAATTATCTGTAAATTCTTAGTAAATGATTTAATAAATTCTAAATAAATTACTGAGCAAATTCTCAATAAATTACTCCTTTCAGTTCTCAGTAAATTAATGAGTGAATTATTCAGTAATTTTTCAGTAAATTACTCGATAAATTCTCCGTAAATTACTCAGTAAATTATTTGTAAATTCTCTGTTAATTAATCAGTAACTTACATACTAAATTCTCACTAAATTACTCTGGAAATTTCTCATTAAATTACACGTAAAATTCTCTATAAATTATTCAACAAATTCTTAGTAATTTATCAGAAAATTCTGAGTAAATTCACAAAAAATTACCAGAATTTTTTTGGTAAATTAATTAGTAAAATTATGAGTAAATTACTCAAAAAATTCTATATAAATTCTCAGTAAATTACTTTATGAATTCTCAGTAAATTATTCAATAAATTCTAAGTAAATTACTTAGTAAATTCTC